TCATTGCCTCGCCATTAGACTACAAGATCTTGTGCTGAACGGCTATGGTTATTTAATTTACTTTATCCTTTTCACGAAGTTCATAATGAAAAACGGTCATGGTAGGATTCGAACCGTCGATTTACCAGTTGGGAGATCATTGTCCTCGCCATTAGACTACAAGATCTTGTGCTGAACGGCTATGGTTATTTAATTTACTTTACCCTTTTCATGAAGTTCATAATGAAAACGTTTATAGTAGGATTCGAACCATCGATTTACCACTTGGGAGACCATTGTCTTCGCCACTAGATTACAAGATCTTGTGCTGAACGGCTGTGGTTATTTAGTTTACTTTACCCTTTTCATGAAGTTCATAATGAAAAACGGTTATAGTAGGATTCGAACCATCGATTTACCGCTTGGGAGACCACTGTCTTCAGCACTAGACTACAAAATCTTTTACTGAAAGGGAATGGTTATTTAATTTACTTTATCCTCTTCAAGAAGTTCGTAATGAAAACGGTTATGGTAGGATTCGAAACCCAAGTTTGGAAGCCGGGAGGGCATTGCTTCACCACTAGACCAACAGAACTTCTGGTGAAATACTACACTATTATATTTTATTAAACCTATTTTTGAGGGGTTGTACAAAAATTAATGATCTCAACGAGTTTATTTTGATGATCATTTATGTTCTTATCTAAAACGATCATAATTGTACCTTATATTCGTAGTTTAACCTAATATTAACCATTCGTATTAACGCTAAAATATCACAGGTATGGAATCCCTTGAGCAAAGGAGTATTACCTCACCATGAGCTGGTTATATATGGCCCAGGTGGCAGGTGAAGCTGATGGTCAGGGTGCGATTGATCAATGAAGTCAAGTCTGATTTCACAGTTCAAAAATTAAAATTTCAGGAAAATGGTATTTCATTTGGTAGATTCATTATAATTCATTATAGTTTAGACATTCACTTCTAATTTCACAGCTGAAATTAACTGTACTCCAATATCAGGCAACAGATATAAAATAACTCCACTCAGACTTAAGCTCCGTTAACATAAAAAATATTGTCATGTTTGCTCTAAATGGTAAGGTAGTTTTGGATATTTTGCAGACTGAATACCCTTTCAATATATCACATCCAAAATCACGCCTATTACAAGGTAAAAAAGAGCACGACGATTGTCTTCACCACCCCTAGACTATTTGCTCTTGGGATAAATGAGGGTACTTTTATTTTACGTAGACCTTTTTTTCAAGTTCCTAATGAAAAGATTCTTTTAATATTTTAATCCTTCCGCTTAAGACATGCGAGAAAGCCGACGAATACAGCGCCATAGTCAAACTTGCAGGAGGAGCCTCTCTCATCGAGACAGGAGAGCGAGAACCGATAGTTTAGCGTGTGCGCCAGTGGATGCGACTCCAAAAGCCGAAGGCTTAGTATATATGACATTGCTCTATGTGGTGATTGTGGGGTTATTATTCGTTCCTGCGACTGCGCGGGGATTTTTATTGTTTTCCAACAGCGTTTAATATGTTTAATCACCGTAAAGAGTCCTTTTTCACTTACTGCACTTACAATAAGCTAAAACAGGTTGATTTAGTTAAAAAATGATGTGAATAAATTTTTAATGCAATAATTTAATGCAATAGTGCCACTCATAGTGGGGGATAACCACGTGCACACATCACAAACGTAGATTAAAGATAGTACACGCACATGCACGACGCATGTCTGCAAATTTCTAATTAGCATAAAAAAAGAAAGTTTTTCAAGGATTAGGTACTAGAGCATCAGTGCTTGGTGTTAAAGGCTACATTTATTTATTTTACCCAAATCATTTTTCAAAGTCATAATGAAAATATATTCGTCTTATTGGAATCACCGACCTAAAAGACTGATAGGGCAATGCCATATACATTTGTGTAGTAAAGCTAAGCTTTCAATGGTATTCGGTTCTTCCAAAACAAGCAACAGTGTTTTTTTGCGGCTATCGTTGCGAATCGTTTATACTGTTGAAAATTTTATTATACCGCAGCATGATGATATAATTGAGGTTATATGAGCACATATCAAGAGACATAGAAAAATAACTCCGAATATAGTCATGTTCGCTTCATTTCACCCAACAAAATATCTCCGTCCTGTTCTTGTGAAATCTTTTGGTCTTCCGTGGCGGAATTTTCCAAAAGATTTGCCTCAGGCTCGGAGAACTGGTCTGCATCTCCGTGAAAAATTTTTCTCCAAAAGAAAGACATCACACTCATGTGGAATGCAAGTCTGAAGCCGATCACGACTACCATCAAACCTCGAAGTTGAACCGTTTTATCCGGAAAGCTGTTTTCGATGAGCGGAGCCACTTCAAGTGCCACATCAAGCATTATCGAGGCAAGTTTACATGCAACTTCGACAAAATTCAGCAAAAGGGAAAGCCAATAGATGATGAAATTGCAGTTTTGCATCATGCGCGTTTTCAAAGATGCTAGTGTGTTCTCTTCAACAACCGTTGCCTTTTGCCAGTGTACTTGTGGAAGATAATTGAAGAAGCAGACGAGGATGAATTTTTCTGGCAGCCAGAGCAGGACCAGAATTGATGTTAACACGCTAATCACACCTACGAACGAAGTATATTTTATTGTTTGAATATGCATGTAAGGTGTCCCAAAAAGCAACAACTTTTTGTGGCTTTTTGCAAAACAACTTTTTGTTTAGATTCCAATGCCTAAGCTAAATCTTTCACACTCGTTGGTTAGGCATGCTAAAAGGACATTAGAATTCCATCAAAGTTTTGTATAAGATATAGGGAACCTACTGGCAGCTAGATTTCAATGTATAATTTTCTCTTATATCGTGTTCATTTGACAGCTTTAAGTTCTGCTTACACTACACTGCTTTATATTTTACTTTCACCACACGTCTTGATAAAATGTAGTGCTAGTATTGATACCTGGGTCTTTTGTGGATTGCACGTGCAGGCGAATTGCGTAATAAACAACGGTCATAACAAGCAGAAATACCAGCGATCCAAACGTCCCTCTTTTTTAGATCTTCTTTACCTCGTTAAGTTTAAAACTTAACTTCTTTTGATTGCTCCAAATGATGAAAATGAAAAGGATCGAGGATATCAGGGACAATACAAGCCAAGCCAACACCCAGTGTTCTGGTTCGGAAGCAAAGAAATTTTGGCTGCAGTTTATGACAGAGGCGTGGTCAAAGAGGATGCACTGAGTGTCGTAGACGGAGAAAAATAGGATTGATACAAACAAAGGAATAGCCGTCAACACGAAAAGTACCTATATCAGAAAGATAGCATTACCTACAACTTTATAGGATCATTGAATTCCCAGGAAAACGAAGTAAAGACATGCCAGTTGACTTTTTATTTTTATTCTAGTTAAAATGACTCTTGTGACGATAATCACTTTTCATAATTATTCATACAAAAATGTTATCTTGCAAGATATAGGTGTTTATATTTGCTGGTATAAGTGCTTCAAATCGCAATCGGCGATATATATATATATACATAGACAATTGCTTATCACATTAGGCAAAATGAAATATTTGGCTTATTTATGTGTGCTGCATGGGTGCATTGCTGTCAGAAAACGATTGTTTTTATTTTTAGCCAAGCGAAAGACCAATATTGCTTTACTTTGTATAATTTTATAACATGTATAGCATTATCTTGAAGACTTGAGTGCATGATAATTATTCTGTATAATATTATAGTTTTGCTTAAACACAAAAGTTAATGTATATGATATTACGTTCAAATTAAGGGTCTTAATTTCGAGTGGAATACACATTTCAAATTCGAGGATGAAGCCTCAAGATGTATTAGGTAAATTGCATGGAAATTCCTGTGTTATTTACCTAGATATAGCGCAGGTATATATAACCCTACAGTTCAGTTTACAGCAAACTAGTCGATCTTGAAGCAATTCTCGTATAATTTTGTGCTTTAAAGCGGCAAACATTGTACAGAAAATTTAAAAATTTAAAAAATGCATGCGAATACCTTTATAAATGTGTCGATATGACTGAAAAAATCCGATCTTTTACGGAAGCCTTCACGATTCTCCACTTCGTCGTCTCGGTTCAAAACCTGGCTTTCCTGTGATTCCATCTTTAAAACAGTATCAGTCTGCTTATATTATATATACTTACACCTAAAAAAGCGACTCGAATATACCCTTTATAATATAATTTATACACATCGCTGTTATTATACTAATCATAACCATGCAATAAATGCAAACGATTATGCAGCTATTGTACATATATGAATACATGCATTCAATAACATCTTTCCTTGCAGAGAACCCCTGTCATGTTATTGTTATGTTCTAACTATTAAATATTTAACATTTTACATTAATATTTTACATTTGATGTCGATTATTGCCGATCCAGTAACGATACTCTTTAAAGCCTCGGTATAGGCTAATATAGCAGAATGGAAACAAACCTTCGCCGATTATTCCAGAGCAGCTATATTTGAAATTCCTTCTTTCTGAGTCCTGAACTGGCACAGAAGTGGCACACAATGAAAAAAATCATCCATATAAACACCCATTCAGAAATCAATAAAAAAATCTGTAATTAAACATGCATGAAGGGTAATGATTTCGCCATGCTGGCGTAAATTATTATGAACATAAATCTTTAACTTCAACCACAGTGTTACAGAGTATTTATCTACAGGCATAAGAATGTAAAGGAATAACCCCTTAACACAAGATATCCGCATAGTTCATCTATTTAGAAGAATTTGAGCGGGCAGTTAATTTTGTCTAGAAGCATCATCCGTCTGTTAGTATAAATACGGGGTGGGAACGAACTACGAAAAAAATTCCTCGTAAAATAGCGCTTGTGAACTCTTTTTGCCACGTGAATAGCTAATTTTTCTTCATTTAATTTTCTTCTACCAGATAAATACTTCCCTAATTGCATTTTGCCGTCATTTTAAATTTGCATTTCCCTGCCATGCCGGCATATATTCGTTCCCAATTCCTGTGCACTTTCTATGAACAAGCGATTCTGTTTTGTCTGACCTATTCGTCTACTTAGTTCAATCGTCCAGACAGTTTGTCTTGTCAGACGGGTAACCCGCGTTTCTAGTATAAACCAGGCCAATAAATACATGTTAGTATACACAGGAACAACTTTTCGATATGCAGTGCTTTTTAATAGAAAACATAGTCGTGGTAGAGTTAATAAAATTAGAGTGAGTTATACATATATAGCTGCCACTTCATTCACGGTGAGGCAAATTATAAAATTAGCCGCTTTGCAAAGCGAAAACGTGCAATATACGTGCAAACTAAACCCAGGACTAATACCATGCAGGTAAGTAATATATAGTTAACAACGTCCTACATTCCCATATTGTGATCAAAACCCTGTTCTGTTTCATTATTCTTGATGCTCACCCAACCCATCATAGCGGTGGTAAAAGCTTTTCCAAAATTTCCTTCTTTATCAATTGCAATAACACCTCCTACACCTGAGTCTTGGCCGAATTTCTTCTCCATCTTTCGCAACGCATTTTCTGCGGCGTCCTGTAGCGAAAAATGTGTCAATTTTTCAAAGAATGAATGTAGTTCTCAAATTTGGCCTTTCAAAAGTCGTTCTTTTTATATGCCAATTAACGCATCAAGAACAATAGATAAAAAAGAAATTCTGTTCAATGCGTTTTGCCTGTATGAGTATAAACTGGGTTATTCCCATAGTTTATGTTTCGTATCCAAACCTGAGCATTCCTCCCACTTTCCATCATATAAACGACCTCTCTTGCTAAGGTCATTTTCATCAAAAGCTCTCCCTGTCCAGATGTGGTTGCTGCTCCGTGTTCATTTGCATAACCCCCGCAGCCAACCATCGCTGCGTCACTCACACGACCTTTCAGGCTTCCGGGTATACCGCCTGGAATGGGAATAATGCTCATGTTGGAAGACTTTAACTGTTCATAATGTTTCAGCAACCAGTAACCAGTATGTGTTTGAATTGCCTATTGTTTTTTCATTTTAATTTTTTCATTTTTTAATATTTCCATATCTTAATTGGATATACATATCAATAGACCTTTTGCATTATAGACTACATTTTGATCTATGGAAGGAAATGCAATTAAATCATAACAACTAAAAAGAGTGTACTAAAATATGTAAAAATGCCAAGTTTGGTTTCAAAATGTTGTAAAATGCGGAAAATATAGCCTTGCAAAGTTTGCAAATTTGTATACTTTCTAAAACAAACGGAAATTGTTACCACATTTAGGCCAAAAATGGTAACAATTTCCGTTTGTCGTAAAAGAATATACCAATTTGCTAACTTAGCAAGGCTATATTCTCCGTATTTTAGAACATTTTGAAGCCAAACTTTGCATTTCTACTAATTTCAGTACGCTCTTTTCAGTTGTTGTAATTTAGTTGCATTTCCTTCCATAAATCAAAATTTAGTCTATAATACAAAATCGTCAAAAATGGAGATATCTTGTATTTATTATAATAGAAATTCCCCGAGTACATATATTTTTGTTCGCAAAATGAAATCACAACCTTGTAAAAGATTTAAAATGCTTTTGAAATCGTGCATGATATCCATTTAAATTTGAAAGATCGGATAATTATCTTCTAATATTTATCCCTGAATTCAATGATAGTAATTCAGTGCTAAATTTTAATTTCTGTTTTATATACTTAATTTGAAGTTATAAAATGACCTTGAAACGGCAAGGTAATTAGTTGTAACTGAACCTACATTAAGTTTGATCCTACAGACTTGTTTAGGCAGTAATGAAAGTGAAATTTATCTGAGAAATTCATGTTTTAACTATTTTAACTACTTTAACCATTTTTCTTATGTGCTCTAGAGATACCTGTTGACACTGCGCAAGCCAAACGACCAGAAGCATCTCTGGCAACAGCTGATACAGTATCACTGCCCAGGGCTCCTTTGGTCACTTTAGTCTCTTTGGTCTCTTTAGTCTCCTTAGTCTCTTTATTCTCAGGATCAGCCGAATCTGTTTCCTTCAAGCTTTCAGTTTCATACGCTGGACGTCCCAAGCGATGGCGTACGTAACCAGGAAAGTCGGAATAAGCAACACTTTTCAATCTTTCAGCACGTCGTGTGACCAGGTAATCTGGATCACAGGTGGGGAACCCATGTTCCGTGGCGTATTTTAAAGCACCTTCACCACTCAGGGCACAGTGATATGTGTCATTCATGATTTTCTTGGCAAGTGAGACAGGATGAGGGAAATGACGTCCAGATATTACTGCTCCTATATTGAAGTATAGAAACACGCAATAGCCTGTTTTGTAATATGTCAATAATTTTATGCAATAATCTGTAGCACAATTTCGAAAATGACCGCCGTTGACTGGTTTATTAGTCGGTATCTGAGAGAAAAAAGTAAACTTATCTAAATATATAAGACAGAGTCGAAGCTGTACCAGTGTTTAACGTGCTCCCATCCATGATCATTGCGTCACATTGAACTTCACCGTCATTATTCAATACTGATCCGTAACCAGCATTAAAATATACGCAGTCCTCCATAACACGTACTGCTTCCTCTACTGCGTCAATCGCGCTTCCGCCGTTCTAATAATTAAGGGTTAGAGATGTTGTAAGTGTTTTGTTCACTAATAAAAGCACGCGCTGACCATACAACGAGATATTGAAATTTCGAGTTCATTGTATATGGTCAGCAAGTGCGTTTATTTGTAAACAAAACACGAGCATAAAGTCTCTAACACAATCTGAGTTCATTGATTGCTGCATTGAAGATCCAAGCTTCGTTGTTGGACCACGATTTTCATGGGTTATTGCGAATAAATTATTCCCATGAACTGCATGTCGCCAGGCAACAAGAAACCACGTGATTGATTTTGACCAATCGCATGAGTAGATTTAGGCCAATGCACGAAGATTGTATATCAATGTATTTTATTGTATGATATCGAGTATTGGGAAGTTGGTAGTTATGGATTTAACTTGTGAAGTCCTAAAATGCTAACATAAAGGTGACTAATCTTGCCATGTATACGCATGTGTACGTTATTCGGTGCATGGTGTGTGAAAACAATGCAAAGAACTTAAGGGTTCCAAATAGGATTGATCGACATCTTGTCTTTATAAACAATCATTTCTCACACTTAATTCGATAACCAAATTGTGTGATGTAACTAATTTTAACATTACTCATCTTGTATGATATCGCAAAATTTGACAATAATTTTAACAAAGATCTGTCCACATAAATTTTTCATTTAGACAAGAACTTACCCTCAAAATCATATACCCATGTTCGGCAGCATTCTTCACCTCGTTCATATATTGGTTTAACTCAGTATTACTCCGCCACAACGGCCAGCTATAGGCGCCGCTCTGAACAATAATTTGTGGTTCTAAAAACAATTAACTAGTTCAATACGATATTCAGGTGAATATCCAAAATAAACATACGAGAGGATGCCAGGATGGAGGGGCATGGCTGACTCCCTCTCCCTAAAAATTGAATGCAGTAATGTTGGGCCAATTTTTATTCAATTCTACCAAAATTCGGGCTATTTTTACTGACGTCAGTTGTTTCAAACAGTCCACTTTCGGACAGAACTTTACATCTTTATTAATTATATTTGTTACGCTATATTCAATTTATCTTGATTACACTCTGATTCAACTGATTTGCTCTCGATAGGATCGGTGTTAATTTGTAATTTGATTCGGGACAGTTATAAAATATTAGGATAAGAACAAAAAGATTCAGTTTGATATTGAGCATTGCTTGTGTATGAAATGAAATGAAGTGCTGTGTCAAGCCGTAGAGACCCACTCTTCAGGTATTATAATCTTTATTTGTAATGTGTTAAGTTCTTTATTCACCAATCAATAATATAATGTAATCTAATCAAACGCAATCATTTTAGAATATATAAATAAATATTACGAAAATCTCTACGGTGTTGAGCGTGGTTTTGCCCATTGGAAACATCAGTGATAAGCCGGCAAAATTGTACTCGTTACTCAAGGAGATTTTTCTGAACTGAATTATTCGCACGTTTGTATGAATTTGTATGAATTATTCGCAGGTCCATTGCATAATGGCGAGCGACTTTGATTTCGCATTTGTGCATCGTGGGTGTAAATATCCGAGCGGAATTAGTATCCTCGCACGGTGCTCTGCACCGGCTCGGGGGTTATAAATTATGCGAATAGTATGTCATACCTGAGTGATGGAATGTCAAACGTTCTATTGGTAGAACTTGTTGTTTGTCTTCTCCTTGCGCCAATTTACTGTAAAAAAATAAAGCTACTGTGATTTCTGCTTCTATATTTCTCATGGAAGCGAGAATCGAGTGGTCTGCCATCGATATACAGGCGTGAAAATCAACAAAGGAAATTATCTACTTCATTGATCACCGACAATAGATCACCGGACATCGCCGATTAAATATTTTCCCCAATGATTTCCATTGCTTTCAAGATTTAGTAAATCTTGATGCAAATTACAGAGTTGTTTTTACGTCATTATACACGGCAGGGGCGCGTTTTGGCGCAATAAACCTTCAATATACACTAAAATACGTTTTTGATTATAGTATACAGCCAGCCATGCAACCGGGCTATTTTGTCCCACAGTGCCAATATCTTTTTGTTTGCTAATATACTGAGAGTCAAGACGAAGTACTGAAGACATAAATAATATATATATAGTATTTCAGAGCAGTTCATTAATTTGAGATTTTGAGAACTTTATATATATTGAGAGACAGGAACAAAACTTAATGGGATGGTTTATATAAATCTTGATCTCAACTATAACTTAAGATCAAGGCGCTTCAAAGTAAAAAATTCTACATAGCTACCGCTTTTCTATTTCCACTCTTGTTTTTTCAACTTCTTCCATGTTTTTAATCTCGATCTTCAAACCTTCCACTTTGATCCCAACCCGCAAAAATTCGTTTTCCAAGCGTTGTCTTATTCTACCGGACTCAAGATCTTCTAAAACTTCAAGAAACCTTTCTTCTGTTAAACAACGCAATTTAACTTGTAGTGATCCTTCTTCAACGTCCGGATCATCTTGGTCATCTCGATTATAACCAAAAACGATGTAAATAACATCTAGGACTAAAGCTCCTAGCGGTGAAATGCGCAGCAAAACGCCCAGTGTAATCTCGCCATCTTCTACTTCCACTTCCACTTCCACCACTGTATTGTCACTAGTGATTTTTAATGAAATGTTTAAAGGAGCAGGGAAACCCGCCATTACCAAGTTTCGGCTGAAATAAAGAAATTTGCACTAAATTAAAGAAGGTATGAAACCCATAAGCGTACGGGCTAGCGGGGCAAGTGCCGACCCGAAAAATTTCGAGAATTTACAAAATTGTAGGTATTTATTTACACCGGGTTGTGTTACAACCGAACGGTTGAGACAATGCCAAGCGAAAGTCGCCTTCCGCATTTTCGTGGATACTAGCTTGTCAATTATCACCTATGCGTATATCAAATAGCACGTCATAAATGAAGTTGTGAAGTTTTGAAAAATTATACATATCAATACTCATTTTAAGACGATTTTATCGCACAGACAAGTACATACAAAATTCGGCTTATACCCGCTTGGGATTAGCTATGCATAAGTGATCCTGTACTATAGTGGGTCGTGTGTAGCTAAAGCATAATGTTTGAGTACACACTGGCGGTCAAAAAGAACTGCTCAAATAAGAAACAAAAAGTTCGACGTCCGATATTTCTCGGTAAAGACCGAGCAAGCGAGGTTAATAAAAAGTTTATTATATGGCATAAATCATGTATTTGCACTTGAAACAAAAAAGAAATACATGAATTCGAGTCGAGTACTATAGTAACCTGGTATGCATTTGATAAAAACAAAAACAAAATAATTTATTGAATTACTTAGTTTAGGTAAACTCTCTGGAGATCGTCTCATTAATTTCAAAAGCAATTAAAGTTTTATTAATTTGTGCCTTCTCATTCAAAATTTCTCTGTTTTTCATCTCGTAAGGGATCGCCTGTAATGTTGGTTCATTACAGGAAAGTGCAGGTGCATTACAGGAATGTAACGGACCACTGAAAATTCTTCTCAGCCAATCATTGAGTTCCATTTCACAGGAAGTGACGCTTGCCATATAATAAAACACAATAATGAACCTATACTGCGCATGCCCAAGGTAATGCTTTTGCGATTAATATTTCAAACACCAACATATCTGAGGCGACAGTTGCAAGTATATCCTCCTTTAGCTCAATCAATCTAATTGTAAGAAACTGGCCCACAGATTCGTGAAAAAATACGTGAAATATAACAAAATTTAATACATGTTTTCGATCACTCTGTCACACGATCAGCACGAGTGAGGTCTGTTTTTATAAATATTATGCTCCTAACCTTTATAGCTTATGCTGTAGTCATTAAGACCTACTCTATATGAAATGATAAGAATAGATGTAGTCAGAAAGGCCTACTTCGAAATAATAAGAGCAATAATCGACGTATATATTAGAAATATATATTCTGTAACACATAAATGTTGGTGGATGGGCGTTCCCTGCCGATAGGGATATGAAACGCTAGTAATCTATCAAAACGAAACTAAAATATTAGCATTTTTTATAATCAGGTATGTTAAGAAATTGCGACATGTAAGCATACTGCACAGCACGAGTGAAGCCTGGTTTTCATACGCGGCTAAACCTGCATAAGTAAATCCTGTAGTCATAAAGGCCTACTCTATATCGCAGCGTGATTTACGATTACGATTACAAAAATTACTAATTTTGGGGGTATGGATTTTCTCCCATTCGGAGAAGCAATCCCCAGCAAATTTAACACGTAATTGTTTGTTGTTATTAAAACACTATTCCTACGCTAAAAGATAACTGAAATATATGCTTCAAAAACGTATTGTAGCTACATCTTACCAGAAATAATAAGAGCAATAATCGACGTATACTAAAGAAATATATATATATTCTGTCACATATATATAGATGTTGGCGGATGGGCGTTTCCTGCCTACAAAATGAAACGTTAGTACTCGATCAAAACGAAACTAAATTTTTAGCATTTTTTATAATCAGGTATGTTAAAAATTGGCGACAAGCAAGAATACTGTACAGCACGAGTGAAGCCTGTGTTTCATAAATATTATGCTACTAACGTTTATAGTAAATGCGGTAGTCATAAAGGCCTACTCTATATCGCATCGTGATTTACGATTACACAACGGCTATTTCCTGCAATACATTA